TAAATTAAGATCTTATATTTAGAATTAAAACACAATCTCAATTAATTTTTATATTAAGGACCAGAAGTAGTGTGTATGTGTGTGTATATGTATAATAACCCTCTTTTTAAGCTCTTTGTGATGCTTACATGCGGGTTGGACACAGTAAGGTCGGCCAGATTGTCGGTGTAGGAAGCCAAATGCCACTGGTTATTAGGAAGCTTCTATAAAAGCAATTGAATTGATGCAAAAGGATGAGTTCAGAGAGTTGGTGCGTTCAAGAGGGAAGAAAGTAATGGGAGTGAGGCATCGTTTTGAAATCCTACATAAATCAGCTTATCAAACCAATGAAGTACTGACCAGTCTGATTTAAAGTTTTGAATGCAACAGCTGAATTGGATTTTATTTTTTTCACTTTTATTTTGAAAAATTATTTTTAATATGTACAAAATCTAAAATAAAAATAATATCTCAATTGCCCCCTTTTCAAAACAAAATTTATTTATAAATCTAGTGCCGGAAAAACAGATTGAACCTGTCAGGCTGTGGCCCATTTATGCTCGAAAATTGTAAGGGTCGGATTTGAAATTTTTCCCTTCAAATAGAAAACAGATTTAAAAGGGCTGACTTTATAAGACCTAGAGCTTAAACAGGCCGGCTCGTTTAGGTCTTTTTATAATTTTTTTAAATTTTTTATATAATTATAATATTATTAATTTTTTTTACATTGTTAACAATATTTTGAATATTTAGTTATTATTATCATTTTGAAACTAAATTTCACATAATGGTTTGATTTATTTAGTAGGCAATAATTTGTCTAATTAAATTTTAAAAAATAGGTTGATTTGGACTTTAATAATGATTTAATTTATATTATATGTCTTGCTATTTTTAAACTATATTTTTTATAAGAGAGTATTTTTATACTTATATAACTTGTGATTCTATAATTTGAATTAAAAATTTATGAGTGTCAACAATAATACTTCTCAAACTAAAGCAAAATAATAGGTAGACTACAAATTTTAAAAGTGAAATTCCTATAAAGAAGAAAAACCAAATATTTTTGCTATGAAAGAAGAACAATTGATTATAGTAATGTTAGAGTTTCAAAAAATTAATGATAGTATTTGTCTATTATAAATTTGTACTATTGATGAAATTTGTGGATGTTAATAGATGTTTTATATGTTCTTCGATATTGATAGATATTAAGATATGATGATTTTTATATTTGTGACCTAATTTTATTTATATTTGTATTTTTTTTATTAATAATTTTATTGGTTTGTTTTTTTTTTGATAAAAAATATGAGAAGTATGGAAAATAACTTTTTTTTCTTAACAGGTTGAAAGCCACCAGGCAAACCTTAAGTCAGGCTTAAAGGTCAAGTCTCACAAATTAAAAATATTTTTAAAATTTTAATCCTAAAAGGCCGGTTCTTTAAAACCCAGCGATCCTGCAAGGCTGATCCTGAAAGTGTAGGCCTGTTTCTAACTCCAATAAATCATTAGTTAAAAATTTTGAATCTTGATCATTAAAATTGTATTGAAATGAGAGAAATTTCACCGCAGTGCTCATCTTCAGCACCTTGTAATCAAGCGCATCATTAAAAGTCCACAGGAACCTGACATAAGAGTCCAAACTAGCCAGTAATACAGAGCGGATATGTCTTGTCAAAAAACACGCAGAGCGGATATGCGAACGCAAGCCCCCACTCACAAATTACGGTGCAAATTCTCCTGCTGGGGGAGACCCTATGAGCAGCCAATCCTCCCAAGTGCCATAGACCGGTCACCAACTGAGGTCATGGGCTTCTTCTTATTAGCCCCTACAGGGGAAAAAAAAAGAAGCTTATTGCTAATAAAATTAAAAGTGAATGTGCAACCAGCACTCAAAATATTTTTTGGGATATCCAGTATCCTAAAATATTTTGTAGTGTATCTAATATTCTGAAATATTTTTTAGAGGCCCTAGTATCCTGAGTATTTTTTTTGTCTTGGTGCTGGATGTACCAAAAAATATTTTTAGGTGTTGGGCACACTTAAAAAAATATTTTAGACTATTGGATATATCACAAGATACTTTAGAGTGTTAAATGCACCTGAAAAAATATTTTGAGATGGTGGAAGCACCACAAAATATTTTAAGATGCTGGATGCACCCAAAAAAATATTTTAAGATGCTAGATACACCTTAACCTTAAAATTAACATCACCAAAAATTATTTCATCACTATTTTTCTATGAATTATTTATGCAAATCTGGTCACTAAATTTAGTGATAAATTTCTGTCGCAAATATACCAGTAATTTCGTAAGTAAATTTCCAGTGACAAAATTTCGACTACTTCCAAACAAACTTCTTCAAATATTTTGAACCAGGAAGAATAGTAAAAACATATATGCTTGAGTTGTTACAAGTCTATGATCACTATCTTGAATCCTTGAGCCTAAACTTTGACTCCCAATTCAGATTGTTAGCAGGTATATTTGGATTAGTGTTAGACAAAATTGACTTCTAGTTCAACTGACTTTTATAACTGAAATTAGAGTAAAAGTCAGTTATGGTATATTTGGGTAGGTGTTTTTAAAAAGTCAGTTGAAAAAGTTAAAAGTTATTTATATGATTAATAGAAAAGTTAGTTTAGTTATAAAATGACTGAAAAGGGCATGGATTTTATTGAATAGTAGTGCTTAAAATTTTATATTTTTAATGTGATAATAGTTTAAAAAAATACATAAAATTATTATGATAAAATATAAATAGTTTATTTGTGAAATTATAAAATAAAAAAATTTGTTATGGAAAAAAATTTAAAAACACATTGTAGATAATTAATTAAATATATATAATGAACAAATATGAATATAAATTAAAATTCATTTCGTCTGAATAAAAACTCTTTATGCTAACAAAGGAGAGGAGGCAGAAGGAAAAATGTGAGGGTAAATCTGGGATGCTCATTTTAATGATCACCATTTGAAATTGTAGTTTGAAAAGTTAGATTTTCCTCCGTTAAGTCCAACTGAGGTTGAAGGCCAAAAGTTGGTTGGAAAAGTTAGCCCGGCCAAACAATAGTTTTTATCCAACTCAGTTTGCAACCTCAATTTCACCATTTTCAAGACACTTTTGCTATTAGAAACAGCAATCCAAACATACCAGCATCGTCAGCAACCAAAATCACAACTGATGTTTAAATCTGTATTAAAGTTATGTAGAACATAATACTACCTCTGGTTCTAAATATAAGGGCTAATTGACTAATTTGAGAAGAATGAGAAAATAAGTTAAATTAGTCATTTGTAATAAATATGTATTGTTTTTTCTAAAATATTATTACTAATCAGGTGTATTGGTTTGAACTACCATTATTAGAAAAACCACCTTAGGAAAAAATGCATAAATATGAGAGACAAAGTGAATTGAAATATTATATTTAGTACTAAAATAAAAGTCAAATAAGGTCTTATATTAAAGACCGAGGTAGTAGAACACTGTTCAAATAAACGGTGTTATTACAAGATTCAAAGAGACAAAGATATCATATTATAATTAACCCTTCTATCATCTTAAATATTCATTTTTTTCATTATTTATGCCTCCCTGACTCACCCATTATTCCTCAACTTCCACACTCGTTGCCTCTTTCCTCTTCATTTTCATCTTATCATCGCACAAATAATAAAACAAGAAAGCCTCGTTTGATTTCTTTAATTTATTCACCTCTCAAACCCTCTCTTGATCTCATTTGACATTTGATCTACAGTCACAGAATGAAAGGAGTTATCAGTTTCAGTGCTCATTATTGTCAGTGCTCATTGTTGTAGTAAGATCTAGACTGTCTAAATATATTTTTAACGGTTTTAAATTTAAAATTTTCAATGAATGGTTTTCAACTAATTTTTTTTAAAAAATAACAATTAGTACACATTAAATTATTAAACTATTAAAAAGATAAGAATATAATCATATTAAATCTGGACTGTCCAATTTTACTCCAGACAGTTCATAATGACGGTGACGGTAAGCACAGAGAGATACATCAAATGATATGTTATTGTATGTATTGCTAGTTTATGTTGGCAATTTATAGGAAAATTTACTCTCTAGAGATGAACATAACATTTTTCCCAGGAATGTGATCCAGTTACGACTGATTTTTTTTTTTTTTATGTTTATGTCATCGTTAATGTGAATAAATTACAAATTCTTTCTTGCAATTTTTTTCCCTGCAAAGCAACAAAAGTTAAAAATAATTAAAGAGTTTTTAGTAGAAGAGGATACAGGTTTAGTAGTAGACTTTGTTAAACAATAAAAACTGATGCATATATTGGTAAAATATTTCTCTCAGAAGTTTAATCCACATTTCGACGTCTACGCTAAAAATTAATTAATCTTAGATGTAAACCAGTTAAAATGATGAAATCTTGGAATGGAAATATCGTACATGCGCTTCAGTTGATTGAATGCATTATGATTAAATTTTCAAGTCTACTTTTCTTGTTTAGTTATCTCCTCTTAAATATAAAACAATAATTATCACGCCTTACTCGATGCATGTATGAGGGATTAATATTTAGTTTAGTTTTTAAAATATGAACAAAATCTATTAAAAAATCATAGTTGAATATCTAGCTTTTGATATCGTTTCAAAATTTAGACAACAAAATTGAGAAAGCAAATCAAATTATGGAAGTCACAAGACTCTTATTTTATTCTCTTATAGAACGAGTAATACTACTTCTATTACATAAAATATTGATAACCAAAATAAAGCTCATTAAAGTCTTAAAACTCCAACAACACCACCTTGCTTCTAATATTAATTCTTCACACTGGTCCTTCACTTTTTATGCCCCCTTCCCACTTTCACTTCCGCTTGTGGCACCTCTTGTGTCCTTGCTTGCACCAAAACCACCTCTCACTTTACCACTGCCTTTGCTTCCTACATCAACATCTGTTCTTGCACCACCTCTTATTCTAGTACGTTCTCTTGTAGTAGTGCTACCTCCACCTACGCCAACACCACCTCCAGCACCTGCACCTCCTCCAACACTAACACTTCCACCTGTACTAACACCCCTCCGGCTCCAGCACCACCACCTACACACCTCCTCCTACACCACCTCCACCACCCCTCCTGCACCAATACCACCTCCTGCACCAGCACCTCCTCCTGCACCATACTTCCGCCAGCACCAAGACCACCTCCTGCTCCTACACCTCCTCCTACGCCACCACCTCCTCCAACACCACCACCAGCACCACCTCCTACTCCGCCACCAACACCTCCACCTGCACCAACACCACCTCCTGCACCAGCACCTCCTCCTGCACTACCACTTCCTGCTCCTCCACCGCCACCACCTCCTACACGCCCACTTCCACCTCCACCTACCCCAGCACCTCCTCCTGCACTAACACCTCCGTCTGCACTAATACCACCTCCAGCTCCTATCCCTCCTCCTGCCCCACCACCTCCTCCGACACCACCTCCTACTCCTCCACCACCACCACCTCCTACACGCCCGCCTCCCCCTCCGCTCCTCCTGTACCAATGCCACCTCCTGCACCAATACCACCTCCAGCTCCTATCCCTCCTCCTGCACCTCCACCTCCACCTCCACCTCCACCTGCGCCAACACCACCTCCTGCACCGGCACCTCCACCTGCACCTATCCTCCTCGAGCACCACCACCACCTCCTACTCCACCCACCACCACCACCTCCACCGCCACCTCCACTTGCACAACGCCACCTCCTGCACCGGCTCCTCCTCCTACACTAACACCTCCGCCCGCACCAATACCACCTCCTGCTCCTATCCCTCCTCCAGCACCACCACCACCTCCTACTCCACACCACCACCACCACCTCCACCTCCACCTCCACCTACGCCAATGCCACCTCCTGCACCAGCTCCTCCTCCTACATTAACACCTCCGCCCGCACCAATACCACCTCCTGCTCCTATTCCTCCTCCTGCACCACCACCTGCTCCGACACCACCTCCTGCTCCACCACCACCACCACCTCCCACACGCCCACCTCCACCTCCGCCTGCACCAGCACCTCCACCTGCACCAATACCACCTCCTGCCCCTATACCTCCTCCTGCACCACCACCTGCTCCGACACCACCTCCTACTCCACCACCACCACCACCTCCTCCTACACGCCCACCACCACCTCCACCTCCACCTACGCCAATACCACCTCCTACACCAGCACCTCCTCCTGCACTAACACCTCCACCTGCACCGATGCCACCTCCTGCCCCTACTCCTCCCCCTACGCCACCACCTCCTCCGACACCACCTCCTGCTCCACCACCAGCACCTCCTCCAACACCGCCTCCTGCTCCACCACATCCGATTCCTCTATATTTCTCTTCCAAGCCTCCTACATTATTATGAAAATCCCCACCAGCTCCAAAGCCTCTCGGAGCATGATCACCTCTTCCACCTTTTTCACCTGTACCACCTTTTGCTTTCCATAGTAGTAAAATGACTAATAACAAAATAAGTGATCTGACGTTGTGTGAGAATCTTCCCATGGTTGTATAAGATCAAAAGTAATAATAATGTAAAGTGTATGACGACCGATATACTTTGAGAAAGGCTTAAAAGGCAAGTTCTATATGTGGCATGAGGTTTAGCAAAGCACCCTATTTATAGGAGAGGATAATGGCATGTATGTGAGAAGGCTAACAGCACTATGGTTGCTAGAAATTTCTACAGGCTTTCAACATGGTTCTTGTTGACTTCGAGTTGCTACCTGTAATTGCACTAACACTCTCAACCAAATATAGTGCTCCTGCCGGCATGAAGTTATTTTCATCGCAAAAAAAAAAAAAAAGACGTGTCAGTATTCGACGGAAGTATGTATTTTTGGCTGTCGTTTGCCTTCACAAAAGTGTACTCCAAATGTTTCTTCCAACTCTTTAATTATGTACCACTATCTATCTCCATTATAAGTTCCCACAAATGACTAAATAAAACGTAACCCACTGCCACAGACGAAGCTATCAGGTTTAGAGACTTGCCAATTTCATCGACCTAAATGCTAGGCTTTTGCTGAAGGTTGTTTTACAAGTGGCACTGCGTGCAGCCTAGTTTAAATACTGAGTAGAAAGTATGAAACGATTAATTATATATAAGTATATAATACCGGGGCCATTTGCCTTTATAGCGTATGAAGTGTTACGTTTGATAGTGGGGATGGCTATTTGATAAGATACATAATCTTTAAAATTTAAAAGTCAATAAACTTAAGTTTTTATTATATTTTCCATATAAGTTTAATTCATGCAAATCACCAAATAATCCATTAAACTTTCAACTAAAATAAAGACATATATAATTTTTAATCAATTTCTAATATTTGAAGTTATATTTTGAAGATTAGATAAGAATATTATTTGTTATTTCTTAAATATTTATGTGCTGATAATTTTTCAGTAAAACGTTAATTTTGGAGATTATTGGATTTTCCTGATTTCAATTTCGATATTGCTAGCTACTTCAATCTCCAAGCTTTACAGAATTAAAGAAATTCTTATTTTAGTGATATATATATATATATATATATATATTCAGATATGACTGGATGGGAAAGCCAACAGAAGGTTTTGATTTGATAATCCGAAGACTTCTAGAAGGAATGTCTTACAAGCTGATGTAAACATGGTGAAAGAATAAAAAATGCGTATTTTATTACTAATATATATATATAATGGTTATGACTATGCTAAGAATATTCTAGCTATTTACGTATCTTTCTTTTATTTTATTTTTTCCCTTGATACGCACACTGTTTTCACCCTTATCATCTCATAATTTTAATTAAAAAAGCATGAATTTAACTATCGAATTATCTTCCTTTATATGGCACACCAAATTGGCACTTCATTTTTGTTTCTTCTTCTTCACTTTTTATCTTTTTTTCTTAATTTCATTTTTGAAATTACATTATTTTTTTCAAGTATAAAACTGAATTTATTCACTCATGAAAAGATGCAAAATAATACATACTGGACTCCCTTGTCAAACTTGGAACTACTTCTTATGCTTATCATTATAATCAGTATCTTGGAACTCATCACTATAATAAGGCCTACATCATCCCAATACAATTTTAATAGTCTAAATTTAAAATTTTTAATTGATAATATTTAAATTAAATATTTATTTTTGAAAAAAAAAACAGTTGAGATATTGTTGTTATTCTGGATTCTATACCCATTAAAAAAAAACTACAAAAAAATATGAATGGTTCAAATTTGATGAACATCATAATTATCATTATTCTGATGAGTGCTAAAACTATTTCGATTAAACTGCACTTCTTGCCTAATAGATAGAGGTTGATTAATGATAAAATACTTACCTCCACGCTATGAGAGGACTTATTAAGGAAATTTACAAAACAAACCCTGCCTATAAGAATGGTGGATTAAAACTTGTCAATCCCTATGGAAAAAAAAAAAAAGATCCTAATATCATCTAAAAGAATGGGTGCTATCACATCTAGTAATCAAATTTATATCTTCAATGCAGTTCGAATATAAACAAATAATCCTCCAGGCTAATATAATTCCCAAAGATAGAATAGATGGGTTTGATGAGGTGAAAACCACGGCTATAGAAGGCAAAGTTTCTTTTTTCTTTTGTTAAAAATAGAAGGCAAAGTTATTCATGAGGTTTGATAGTTAACCTCCCAAAAGTGCTTTTTTTAAACCTCCCGTTATATTCCATTGTGATTTGGGCCTTTTGTTTTGCAATTAAGCACACTCCCCAGTATTGGGTTAACTCGTCGACCTACTTTCTTGAGTTAGTCCCAAATGGTCATAGAAATCAATAAAAAGATTTTTCTTGTTTAGCCAGCAATAAAGGGAAACTTACATACAAGTACAAGTTCCATGTAAAAGACCGAAGTCCTAACTAATTGTAAATACTCTGATGCTGTTTATAAGATAGGGAGATATTTTTTCCCTATTTATAAATATCATCATTAATTTTAATACAAATATACTATTTTATCTTATGTAGGTTGTTACTTTCCTAAAAATTATGTTGAAAATTTGTTAAGTTTTAAGGTGGAACTAATGAGATTTAAGGTTTTTTTTTTTGTTTGAGTAAAACATGCTAAAAATGACTTGTAAGTAAACCAATAGGGTTGGGTCTAGTCTCACTACGTAGCAAACCAAAATTTGAATCCCCTATCGCTGAGGTGCTCATATTTAGTATCTAACAGTATTTCGAATAAGATTGCCTCTAGCTAATAGGGGGATACCTATACTCTGCACACAAAAAAAACTTATAAGTAGGATGTGAGGAATAGTTTGACTTATACTCCTTAGTTCTATTTACAAAGTAGAGAAAGTTTTTTTGTCCCATTTATAAATCTCACCATTATAAATTTTCACATGAATATACAATTATACTCATCCAATCTTTAATATAAGACAAAATTTGAAAGTTAATGTTAGTTCTATATATAAGACTTATTTTATATACTTATCAATTTTTTTCAAATTAACCTTATTAATATTTCCTCAATATGACACATTAAAACTTGTAAATCATCAATCAATATAACATCTTAAAACTTGTAGCGAATCACTAGTTGGTCCATTTGTGCATATTACTTGTCATATATCTCAATCCGTAATTGGTGAGCTATTCGGTGGTTCCCACATCATACTTCAGAGTTCTGACTCACGAAATGTAGACTGTAACATTTCAATTAGAAATAAAAGTAAAATAAATGATATAGCATGGGCAAACAAAGTAAATTTTTTTTAAACGATGGAGTATTGATTAAATTGGTCAAACAATTTTATTTTTGAATTGAAGGGGTGAAGAACCATGACATAGTGGTAGGAATTCCGAAATTTGACTTCTAGGCTCTGTAACGATTTTTATCTTGGGAGGGGGTAATGGGGAGAATAGAGCTGTCAATAAAAGTCAGTCTGACTCTAAAAAGCTAGCCCTTGAAAGGCTAGGGTCTAAAGGAGCCGATCGTTTAAAGCCCGTATACCTTAAAAGTATCATGTTATTAAAGCTCAGTCCTCAGACTTGTGGGCTTATAGCCTAAAAAAGCCAGCCCTTTTGTGTTATTTTTTCAAAATTTAAATTCTTTTCAATTATTTTGAAATGAAAAAAAATAGAACAATAAAACTTCAAAAAAAAATTTATTCAAATTATAATATTAGTAAAATAAACTAACGACGTATAGAGAAAAACATCAAATATTGACGAATTAGTATCCAGACAAAAACTAAAACAAATAAAATAGGGAAAGCAGAAAGATAAAAATTAAGCAATTAAAGATTAAGAACATCAATATGATTATTATCTTCATCTTTATCACCATCATCAAGATCAACAATATTTAATTGTTCTTCAGTACAGATGAACTCTTCTTCAATGATATAAATATCAAGGTTTTTGTTTACATCACTTTTGTTTAAAATAAAACTATGTAATAGTGCGAGTACAAATGAGAACCTAAACATTTGTTAGAATAAGAGAATTTTTATACTTTGTTAAGACATATGAAATGATAGTAAAGAGAGATTCACTAGTTACTGTAGTGATTAAAATGCCTGTCATCCTTGAAAGAATTAAAAATTAATTTTCATTGTCCTTCTACTAGTTCAAGACATTTAATTGTTTTCAATTATATGAATTAAGTATTAGTTCTTCTAAATAATTTTCTAATTCAGACTTATCTATAAAAAAATTAATCCATAATTGTTTAAATATCTTGATAATTAAAAAAATAGACTAGTTTAAAAGGGCTGGCCCTTTTATTTTTGAACCCTAAAGGGCTAACCCTTTTAAACCTAATTTCGTTTTCAACCTCCTAAAATGCAAATTTGGTCCTTCACTTAAAAGGGTTGAAATGGACTCGCCCGATGGGCTTAACCCTTTTTTCCGGCTCTAGGAGAGAAGTTTTGATGTTAACAGTATTACTATTAAAATATTAAAATTTAAGAAGTCCAACCAAATGAGTAATCATGTAAATTATCTTAAAATTTTAATAGGCTAAACAGTTTTTTTTAAAAAAAAAAATACAAGGGGCCAACAACTAGGACACGGTGGTAGTAATTTCAGAATTTAACTTTTAGGCTTTTGTAATTATTATTATTATTTCTTTGTTGGAGAAGCGGGAATTTGGGGGAGAAGTTTTAATATTAACAGTGTTACTATTAAAATGCTAATATTTAAGTAGGATAGTTAAAAATTGATGCCAATTATATAAGTGGTTATGTAAACTATCTCAAAATTTTAATTAGAGATAGAAGTAAAATAAATAATAGAGTATGTGAAAATGAAGTAAATTAATTTTTTTAATAATAAAATATTGATTAAGCAGGTTAAACAATCTTTTTATAGGCTGGGGTAAAAAATATTGATATTAATTTCAACGGTATGTTTCAGCTACGGCGTTTTTTTTTTTTTGGCCCATCATTCACAATTCTCATTTACAATCACTTAAACAATCCCATTTTATTTTTATTTTTGCAAAAGCTTTGGCATACACGGGGCT